TTTATTTATTTCTAGGAGAGAGAGAGAGACAGCGTGAGCAGGGGAGGGTCAGAGAGAGAGGGAGTCACAGACTGAAACAGGCTCCAGGCTCTGAGCTGGCAGTCAGCACAGAGCCTGACGCGGGGCTCGAACCCACGAACCGCGAGATCATGACCCAAGCGAAAGTCGGACGCTTAACCGACTAAGCCACCCAGGCGCCCCATATTATTTATTTTTGAGAGAGAGAGAGAGACAGCATGAGCAGGGGAGGGTCAGAGAGAGAAGGAGACACAGAATCCGAAACAGGCTCCAGGCTCTGAGCTGTCAGCACAGAGCCCCACACAGGGCTCCAACTCTGCGAGATCATGACCTGAACTGAAGTCAGATGCTTAACTGACTGAGCCACTCAGGTGCCCCTTTTTTTATCTTTTTAATGTTTTTTATTATGTATTCTCAGACAATATTTTATATCTGTTGCTTTATATACATCTGTCACGTAGAAATGGCTTAATTTATTTAATAAACTCCTATGGTCGGGGATTTAAATTGTTGCCAATTTTGTCTCTAAGATAAGCAGTTCTGAGGAAACTATCCTCTGTAAATATCTTTTTCTTAACATAAACTATTAGAAATGGAGTTTGCTGAGTCCTAGGAATACACATTTAAAGTCTTTTGATTTTTGTTGCCCAAATCAAGTAATTCTTAAGCACCTACTTAGTACCAGCTACTGTTGTAGGCATTGGAGATACAGGATTTGACAAAAGATATCAAATCTCTGCCCTGTGGATCTTACATTCAGGTGCTGTGGGGGGAGATAGCAGTAAATTATGTGAGATGGTGATAGGTGCTGCAGAGAAGGGAAAGACAGGGTGCCAAGTGTGGGGATGGAATTATAATTTAAATAGACCTCATTGGAAAGGTGGAACTTTTATATTAAAAGTCCCAAAGGAGGTAAGAAAGACTAAAAGGAGCTTTAAAGGAAGAGTTTCCAGGCAGAGAAGAGCAGGTGCAAAGGCCCTGAGGCAGGAGTGGTGCTGGCATGTTAGAGGAACAGCAAGGAGGCCAGTACAGCTGTAGAAGACCGAGTGAGGGTGAGAGTAGTCTAAGGGGAATTCAGCTAACTTGGAAGAGACTGTTTTCGCCCATGTAAGGACTTAAACTCTGAATGAAGTAAGAAGCTATTGAAGGGCCTTGAGAGGGTGACTGATCTGACTGCATTTTAGCAAGAGACCTCTGGCTGCTGTGTTCAGAAGAGACTGCAGGGGGCTGAGAGTGGAGGTGGGGGACCAGGGAGGAACGGTTGTATGAATGTGTGTGAGAGATGGTGGCGGTGAGGACCCTCATGGGATTTGGGGTTATTTTAAAGGTGAGTGGGCAGATTGGCTGTGGAGTTTGAGAGAAAGAAAGGAGTTTGAACCTGAGCTGATGGAATGATGCTTTCGGGTACTGAGATGGGGGAAACAGGGTGAGTAGGTTGGAGGAGGGCAGGAAGTCAGAATCATGGTTCTGGGCATGCCAAGCGTGAGATGGCTGTTAGACATCCAGATGGAAACGAAACAGACGATTAGATGCGGCTGAAGATACAGATCTGGGAGTCGTCGGCTTTGCAGAAAGGGTGTGTCTGGCCTCACTCTCACCCGCACAGGAAGAGAGTGCTCGTTAATGTTGATTCTCAGCAACATGGTATTTGTAAACGTTAGTTTTTGCTAGTTGTATAGGTTAATAGTTTTTTTAGGTTTTAATTTTTATTTTTGTGGATATAGAAGTTTAAGTATTTTATATAATCAAATTTATGTCTTTACTTTATGGACTCACGTTCTTTGGATGTAATGCTTACTAGAAAGTTGGCCTTGGGAGCCATTTGTCATACAATATATATCCAACTATAATTTTGTTAAGACAGTATTGATTTTGGTGTTTGTACCTTAATTCATTATTTTCTTGTTTAAACAGGCACACGTCTGCGAAACGTTCCTGTTCTTTTTAATGATACAGAAGCTAATCTGGCCGGAATGTATGGAAAAGTCCGAAAAGCTGCTAGTTCAATTGACCAGTTTAGGTAAGCAAGGACAGTGACTCAGGTCTTTCGGTACCGTTTTCTCATGGTTTCAGTCACAGCAAGTCCTGTCAGGCAGAGCCGATGTTTAAAGTGACGTTTCCCTACTGCCTCTCATGATACTTCAGTCTCATGAAATTGCTTTATGCGCTCAGCCAGTGCCTATGTTCTACTGAAGATTATTAACCCTGATCATTTCTCTTCTCATAATAAACCCTATTAAAAACACTTATTAAATTTCATTGAGAAAACCTCTGTCTCATGTAAATGCATCCATTGGAATGTTTTATTTCATTTTATCGTGTGCTGAGACTAAAAGATGCTGCTATATGTGATGAACAGTACTCATTTTAATGTATATTTATATATACTACAAAGTAATATATAATTTATATGTTATTACATATTCATAACTTCTTTATACTAGCAGACATCCACCCTACAAAGAAAATGTTTTAACGGTTTATGTATGCCTTGTTAAACTTCATGTTTCAATAACCTACTAAAGTCATTTGCCTCATAATGCTTGTAATTAAACACAATTATAACGGCTGGTGCAATATAGAGCGATCTTTTCTTACCTTTTTGTGTTAGAATAGAGCTACGGTGTTAAAAATCAGCAATGACTTGCTAAGGTTGCTGAGGCCACATTGGCATTACCTCCAGGCTGTGAAGCACATTTATTTCAGCTACTCATTTATTCAACGTACGTAATAATTTTTAGAGAAACTACATGCTGGGCATTACACTCATAGCAGTGAAAGGTGCAGAAAGGCCTAGAAGAAGGGTGTACGTGCTTGTATGGGTATCCATCTTGATGGGGAAAAAGTGTTTCAGAGAGGCCCGACTAATAAGGTCTAGCACACTCCCGTGTTTACTGTACTTAAGTGTTTGCCTGAGTTTCTCTAGTTTTTTGCCTTTTACAAGCATGTGTCCATGCAGAAGCTTCCAGATTAGTTCTTGGCTGGTGTTAACCAACCAGTCCCTTTTCCCTATTCATGTGTTGACACTTGCCTTACCTTTTGTAACTTCTTTGGTCTCTGACAGAAAGATTATTCAGAGAGGGACCAAGTTTGCCTCATGTAGTTGTAGCCGGAGAATGAAGGGGAACTATTGCACTATACTTGTCAGTCAAGCCACAATCGATAAAGAAAATCTTTGTTTACTATGTCGTATCCATATGGTTATTCCAAGTAGTCATTTAACAATCTACTATAAAATGGTTTTTCTGTTATGGTGGCTGTATACATAGTTTGAATGAGAGAAATCCTAAGAAGCTTCATTAGCTGTTACCACAGGAAGGTGTGTTTGAGTGTTAACTCTCTCCTCTCACCCCCACCCTCCATTTGTGCAGCATCCGCCTGGGAATTTTTCTCCGAAGATACCCCATAGCACGAGTTTTTGTGATTATATATATGGTAAGTAAACTTCTTTGAAAAAATAATACTGCACTTGATTTTTAACAAGTTTTTTTTTCAGCTGCAATCAATTCTGAAAGAGAATAGAACTCATTTTTGGTAATTAAGATTTTTTTTACCTCAGGTATGTAAATAGAGTTATAATTCATCACATCTAAAATATAAATTGACCAAAGGCTTTTCCTGCAGTAAAATTGTAGTGAAGTTCGATGGTTACCTCCATTTCTAAGCCCCCATATTTTATGATAATAAAATATCATTTTATTAATGATAAAAATACAATGCAAAACAATCTGTTTCATTTGATGTAAAGTTGTTTTGATTATCCTCATGGGTTTTGCTTTATTTTCTGAAAGACCCTCAAGGTTGATTTCTATTCTTTCAGATTCCTTAGCTCTATAAAATGGTCACCATAGTTTGGGATACTGTTTCATATGTCCCGTGACCCTAAAAACTAACTGTTCTGAGTGAGGGCAGCTAAGCGTAAGTAAGAAAAGCAGTTTTCCTGAAAAAGAAAAAAAGCTTACTTAGGAAGAAATTTCTCTGTGATCCACTAGAGGGAAGAGTTATTCCTTTGAATAAAAAGTTTTTAAGGAGCAGGCCCCTAGGTAGCTCAGTCAGTTAAGTGTCCAACTCGATTTCAGCTCAGGTCACCATCTCAGGGTCTTGAGGCTCAGGGTCAGGCTCTGACTGGTGGTAGAAACTACTTGAGATTCTCTCTGTGTCCCTCTGCCCCTCTGCTGGTTCTCTCTCTCTCTCTCTCTCTCACTAACTGAAAAAATATTTAAGAAGTGAGGGTTGGAGAGAACAAAAGACAAAAATTGATGGCTTAGGGCCACACTGAGTCGATTCCTGGTGTGGGGGACAGAAGAGCACGTGCACCCCGATGGCTGATGACAGAATGGTGAGGCACCTGTAATGGAGCCTCCCATTACGTCAGCGCTGCCAGGAGGGAACCTGTGGAAATCATCCCTCTAGGGCCTGTGCTCGACCCTAAATCAGCTTCCAAAGCTGACACGTTCCTCCTGTCAGGAGTGTCTTCCCTCGTCCTCCTCACCAGGCGACAGCTACACCCTTTTTTCAGGACACCAACCGTGACTCTGTTCCAGAAAGACTTTCCAACCAGGAGCACTGGGCTGGCTTAGTGGTAGAGCGTGAGACTTTTGGTCTCAGGGATGTGAGTTCAAGCCCCACGTTGGGCCTGAAGCCTACTTTTAAAAAAATAAATAAAGCCTTCCCAGCCAACGTCATCTATATCTCGCCATTTTAATTGTGCCACATGCTCTGCGTATTTGTATATACCTGTGCATCTCATGAATGTGTTAAGGACACTGATAATTCTCAACTGAGAATTCTGTAGGCATCAAAACCTTTATGCTCCACTGCATTTAGCTAGTTTAAGTGTTTGCACGTTTGTTTCCTTGTTGTTTCTCCGGTGAACACGGACGGAGTGCCCGCAGTGTCGCAGATGCGGCCCCGCGAAGACAGAGACAAAGAAGACCTGCTTCCTGCCCTCAGCGCGCTACGCGGTAGGCTTCTGGTGCAGAGTGGCTTGTCGGCTCCTCTCTAAACCGCTCTCTTTTTCTTTAGGCTTTGCTTCACCTCTGGGTCATGGTCGTGCTATTGACGTACACGCCAGAGATGCATCACGACCAGCCGCGTGGCAAATGAACCGAGCCCGGCTGTGCCAGCGGTCAGCCGGCTGTTTCCGGACCTGGGCTCTGCAGAAGGACCGGTTGCCTGACGCTGCGGAGAACGGTGCACAAGGTCATTCCATCACTACAGCTTTGAACTTGTTATTCTCTAAGTGCTCTGCCCTCTACATCTCCCCCCCGCCCCCACCTCTTCCAGATGGTAAGAGTGTCTGAAACAGACAGTAACGTAATTCAGCTCTGCTTTCTCTGAGGTGCGAGATTGGGTGTGTGTGCGTACGCACACAGACATGCCAGCTCGTTCAGCCCTGCGCGGGCCAGCCCGCATTTTAGGTGACAACATTATGGGTTATAATCAGGGAAACTAATTGTATTTACTGATACAAATAAAACATCTTCTTTTTGATAATTCAGTCTGCTTTCATATTTTCACATGTACTTAGCTTTGCAGATACAGATTTACTTCTTCCACGTTAAAGGCCTGATTGGTCTAAGCCTTCATATAGATACATAAATAACACTTGCTGTGCATTTTTCTTTTTTTAAAATAATAGTTTCTCAGGGCACCTGGGCGGCTTAAGTCATGATCTCATGGTTCGTGGGTTCGAGCCCCGCATCGGGCTCTGTGCTGGCAGCTAGCTTGGAGCTTGGAGCTTGGAGCCTGCCTCAGAATCTGGATCTGCCTCTCTCTCTGACCCTCTCCTGCTCACGCTCTCTCTCTCTCTCTCCCAGAAATAAATAAAACATTAAGGGCACCTGGGTGGCTCAGTCCGTTAAAGTCCAACTTCAGCTCAGGTTATGACCTCACAGTTCGTGGGTTCCGGCACCATGTCGGCCTCTGTGCTGACAGCTAGCTCAGAGTCTGGAGCCTGTTTCAGGTTCTGTGTCTCCCTCTCTCTCTGACCCTCCCCCGCTTGTGCTGTCTCTCTCTCAGAAATAAATAAAACACATTCAAAAAATACATAAATAAATAAACATCTAAAAAAATAAAATAAAATCATAGTTTCTCATCCCCATTAAGTAGGACCTTTCCAAATGGGCTTCAGTGAGAAGAGCAGAAATGAGCAGTGTTGTTACCGGTCACCAATTGTTGGTGCTTTGCCCCCTCTCTGGGGACACCCCCCTCCCTCCTGTCCCAGTGCGCCACCTCCCTCGGGTTCTTAGGCGCTCATTCGCTGTCCTCATTTCCTTTCCGCTAGCCTGGACCTTGGGGCAGCTCGGGACGCCCGGAGCCCTTGTGTGTAGCATTTAGGAATCAAATCTGTTCTTTCAACCTATGCACTTTCAAAACACCCCACTGCAAAGACGTGGAGTTATTCTTTGAAAAGAGACATTTTCTTTGCTTGAAGTTCAATACATTGTTCCTCTTGACTCTTTGTCCCCCACATGCCTGAATTCTTATTTTGTCCCCTGGTTACTGGTGGTCTCTCTCCGCATGTGATTGATTCACATAGATCTTGGGCGGGGGTTTAGTTCTTTCAGGAATGTTTCCGGAGCAGTCTGCTGGTACCTACCGAAAACCTGAACAGAGTTTCCCTTCGTAATGACATCTGTACTGTGACTTTAACTGACCTATAAAATCTTCAGAATCTTAATACCCTAGCAGATGTATATGTTTCTTATTTTTCACCAGAAAATGAAGTTTCAAAGGTCATCTTACATATGTTTGAGCTGTTTCTCAACTTAGCATGAACGTAAAAGGCAGCAGTGCCACATCATCTAAAGGTGGATATGAGATCCTGGGGTAGAGGCACATTATTACATCTGTAGGTTTTCTGTCACCGCCCTTACTTGGGGTGTTAATAGCCTGTCAGAGCCTGAGCTGTGAGGTCAGGTCTGAGCTCAACCAGAATAAAGTAAAGGTTTAATCTTGTTAATATCTTTGAAAGATGGTTTTCCCTGTCTTCTAATTTGGAAACTTTTCTGGAAAATGATTAGAACCAGGTTACACACTTAAAATGGAAAACAGCACATGCTTTGTTGTCGTGTTTTGCCAGACTTCCCGCCCCTGCGCGTCTCCCTGGCTTCTGCTGGGATGCCTCCACGTCTTTCTTCAGGCTTTGTATGTTCTTGGCTTTGGAAATTGTTTGACAAAGTGTTTCCAAGATTATTTTTCTGCAGTTACTTTGAAACTGAACTGAGTTTCAGTTTCACCATCCTCAGCCCTAACAAACTGGGGAGTTATGAACAGCGTGCCCTTTCATTCATCCTCAGGTAGCACGAAACCTTGACTAATTAAAGAGATTGCATGAGGGGCACCTGGGGGCTCAGTCAGTTAAGCATCAGACTTCAGCTCAGGTCATGATCTCAGAGCCCGTGAGTTTGAGCCCCACGTCGGGCTCTGTGCTGACACCTCAGAGCCTGGAGCCTGCTTCCACTTCTGTGTCTCCCTCTCTCTCTGCCCCTCACCTGCTCATGCTCTGTCTCTCCCAAAATAAATAAACATTATAAAAATAATAAAAGGATTTCATGAGAGTCGATCTTTTTGCTTTTCAACCCAGTATATTCATTTGAAGACATTATGTGTACATATATATAGGATATTATATATACATTATATACATGGACATATATATTATCAGAACTCTTGTGTTGCTCTATATTTACAGCTATCAATTGGAAAATAAGATTGTTTTATTATTAGAAGACTATTTCTCTAGACCTTGTGCTTACTAAAATCTTAACACTTCTGTTGCTACAGAACAAAACCGGCAAACGAAAGCATGGGTTTTGTTAACAGGCATTAAACAGACTGTTCTGTGGAGGAGGAGAGGCCGTCGGGCCGGGCGGTCCAGCCTCAGGTTAAGAAGGCTTACATCCAACTCACCCTGTTGGGGGCAAAACCCCAAACTACCCAAAATTCCCTCCTTGGGTGCCCCCGCGCTATGGCAAGAGGCCAGCTGTGTTGGAAAAGACCCCCGTGGGCACCTGGGTAAGACGGAAGTAGAAGGAAGGAACTGGAAGAGCCGAAGAGCATAGTCAGGGACCGATGGCCAAAGGCAGTCACTTCCGGCCGTGAGTGGCCAGAAGGAAATGACTGACAAAAATGTCTTCGTGGTCTTTCTGAACACGTTTAGTATTGCTACTAACTCTTTCCTGAATGAGAAGAATACGGCGTAGACGAATGTCACAGCTCTAATGCGTGACTTTGCCTCCCAGACACAGACACAGCCCAAAATAGGTACGATTTTTTCTTTGGTCAGAACGTTTGAGGGTCAAGCGTGTTACATACCGAAGCCTTATTCGTAGAAGGTGTCTCAAAGTGGGTGGTCAAGTTTTATTTTAAGCTATAATAAGGCTACCAAGTACCACATTTTGAGGGCCCTCTGTGCTGGTCCCGTCTAGGAACTGGGAGTAGCTGGGAACAAAGCCTCTGCCCTGGTACGGCTCACATTTAAGTGGGAAGGCAGGCTGTCAACACATGCTTCACGTGACACGTGGTGTTAAATGCTGGGAAGAACAATGTGAGGGTCCCGTGGGGTGGGGGAGGGGCGGGAGAGGCCTCTGTAGAGGTGCAGGGGTGGGTGGTGCGGAACCCCCAGCGGGCTTCCTGGGCAGTAGCTTACGTAAGGACCAAGCCTCCGGAACAGGAGGTGCTTAGGGAGGCCAAGGAGGCCCGCGTGGCTGGAGCAGAGCGTGGCAAGGGAGCGCCGTGGGGCCGCTGGGCCAGGGACCCGGGGTCCAGTTGATGGACTGGAGCCTTGGTGGGATAGTGGTTAGCAGAGCTGCCTCCCAAGGGAAGGACTTGGGATTTGAAATCCCTCTTCATCTCTCCCCCTCTGACCCTAAGCCAGCATTTCTTTAACCAGGGAAAACCTTTAAAAATCTGTAGCTTAGAAACCCACAGACTGCCATTGCTCCACATACAAATGATGACGAGTACAGATTTCCTTTCGTCGAGGTGAGGACAGGCCGAACCCGAGGCCGGAAAGTACATTTTCCTACATGGTTACAAAGAACATCAGATCGACGAATCTGCACCTTTCCCCCATAACTGCTCGGCCTCCACATTCGCAGTTAGCTCGTCACGTTGGCTCAAGTCAAGAACAAACAAAAATGAAATGAAGCCCAAGAGTACAGCTGCAGACAGACGTAGCCCATGTTTGACTAACCAAGCGGAGCCCTGACTCACTGCCTGGCGTTAACGACTGTCACACTGTCAGGCCTCATCACCTCAAATGTCTTCGGACATTTCGCATCCCCAGGGGGCAGAGACAGTACTTTTTTTTATCCACTGTTCTATCCTCAGTGCCTAGACCAGTGCCTGGCCCACAATGCCTTCCGTCGATGTTCGCTGAGCTTCCTTCACTGTATCGGGCAGAGCCCTGAGCTCATGCACTCCCCTCCAGTGCCCCTTAGACCTTCACTCGGCATCTATCCTGTTCATGCAGCACATCTGGTTCCTAAAACCCCAGCAGAGAAGAAAAACTAACTGGCTGGGTGCACTGGCAATAGTGAGGACTTCAGTCAGCTAGCTCGCCAGGATTTCCCAAAAAGGGACAGGCCATAAGCATTTAAAATACAGAAACGGGGGCTCCTGGGTGGCTCAGTCGGTTAAACATCTAACTTCGGCTCAGGTCATGATCTCACAGTTCATGAGTTTGAGCCCCGTGTCGGGCTGTATGCGGACAGCTGAGCCTGGAGCCTGCTTTGGATTCTGTGTCTCCCTCTCTTACCCTCCCCACCTCGTGCTCTGTCTCTCTCTCTCAAAAATAAACATTAAGAAATTTTAATACAAAAATAAATAAAATAAATACAGAAACAAAAGGTGACCCGAGGACACTGCTGACCTGAGGTGTCCATAGTGAAGAGCTTTAATCATCAGAGGAAGTTCAGTCATGCTTGATGGATTTTCCCAAAAGATAGTGGAGAAGATTTCTGAAAGACCAAAGAGATTTCTGGAAGTTCTGCCAAGCAACACCCGCATATAGTCAGGCTCTTTCCTCATATCATATTTTCCTCTCTATCTCACTGGACCTCTCCTCTCTAGGAGTGCTAGTTAAGCTAAGTTTACCCAAAGTAGTAAGCTTTCTGCATGCAAACTTTTCAGCTGCTGGCTATTTGCTTTAATTCACAAATACGGTGTAAATCAATGAAATTCAAGAATTAATTCAAACCTTAAATGTAATTGCAGCTAGAACATGCTTCCTAATGGGCCAATATCACCACCAAGGGGGTGAGAATTGGTTCTTAAGAGGGCAAAAATATCTGTTTTCGTATGTAAAGCCAGGTTTGCATCTAGTGTACACCAGGCGATCTGACATTGAGATCTCATGACGGGGAGTGATGATAATGGCAAAGGCTGGGAAACACTGGGCTGGACGAACAGGCAGGGACCCGGCTCCGCCCTCATGGAACCTGCACTCCAAGAAGGGAAACTGATGCAGATCGGAGCCTTGCACGGTCTGG